CTGTTGTCACCAATCTTCCCACTCTGGCAGGGAATGCTGATAACAGGGAAGTGTGTATGAAGGTGGGAAATTGTGATGCCCCACCCCCACCAATTTGATAAAATTAGGAACTCCAAACTGCTTGCTCTACACACTGAAGTCATTATATAAGGAAAGGCATGAGTCATTTATGGGTACTAGTAGTTCTGGAAGCTTCCAAACATACACACAAAGCAGGAGCTTCTGCCCACTCGTGGCTGCTTTTCCCAGGCTGCGTTCAGGGCAGCTTTCTCCTTTAAGTCTGCCCCCTTTGCATCTATTCTAAGCTTAACTCACTTGAGGAAAAGGGGAGAAAAGATGACGTCAGAGGTTTGTGGTAGGAAGGGCTTTTTCCATGTTTTCTACCAAAGAAACTTCCAGAGAGAGAGAGAGAGAGAGAGAATCCTATTGTAGGCCACAGAACAATTGCTTGCTGCACCTCTGCAGAAATGCCTAGGCCTGGCTTTGGCCTGCTGCTGCCCCTCACTGAGCTGAAACCGGCCAGGGCCCCAGGCAGCGATTCTCTTTATGCTATGGAGCATTAATGACTCTCCAAGGCACAGTGATCAAGTGAAATCAACATCACTGGCATGGATTTAAGAGGAGATGGAATGGTTTAAGGCACCTGCTTCACTACCAGATATTTGAATCATGGCATTGTGGTTCCTGAGCTATGTGAGTTCCTAGCCCATAGGGTTTCTGCAAGTAACTAAGGAAATAATATACATTAAGTACGCAGTGCCCGGTAACTAATATCTACAATCTCCTTGATAAAACTATAAGCTGTAGGGTATCCGGATCATCTTTCAGTCTCTGAATGCAATATACTGAGAGAATGCTGTATGAGAGCTACCTATATTTATGATGTGAAAACCAGGACATGGAAATTTTTATAAAATTAGCAATTTGAGTATTTAAAATGGATTAGTTGGCTTACCATTACTATTTAATGACTGAGGTAGGAAAAAACTCCGATCATTTGAGAGTGTTAAAAATAGTGTCTAAATCAACAGAAACAGTGAACAAATGATGTGTCCCATATAATCAGAAAGATGTTTATACTTGGCTAAATCCTTGCTGTATATAGCAGGCTCCAGAGAATCTGTTTTTCTCAGGCAGAAAGAATGAGCTTAGCTCTAAGAACACAATCCCTGACAGAATTTACATTTCTAAGCAAGGTAATAAACACTTTTCTTCTCCCCAAAAAACATATTATGTTGTTAAAAGTGCATAGCATATAAATATTAAATGGCAAGAACTATGCCAGATAATACCACCAAATTGTCATGTAGATTTTTCTTCCATGGAACATAACTAAAAATATACACAAATACACTCATCTCACCCAGACTTCATGGGATTCTTCTGGAATTAAAACAAAGCAAAACAAAACAAAACACCACACTTATTTTATATTTAACCCATATGCTTTCCATGTGACTTTCCTTTTTATGGAAATGTAAGCTCCATTTCAGGCATTTGGAAGGAATGAGGTATGCGATGATAAGGGAAAGAAGTATTTAATAGTTCCATCCTGAATCATGCTTACGAATGATTCTTTAAAAAGTCTAATGGACCAGACCCTTCCAAAAAGAGCACCATTGGCTTAGAAAAAAGAAATGTAAGACTAAATTAAGCAAAAAAAAAAAAATACAATGAAAACAAATTGCTCATATATTTTGAAATAATGCATGAGTTTTTAGTGCCAAGGAGTGTTTGTCTTTATTATTAAAAGGTGCTGAGTATTATTATCAAATAGCCAATTATAAATCAATTCTAACATAAAGGTTAAGGGTCAATGAGGCTAATTAATATCTACCTTATAATACTTAGCTAACAGCAAAACACAAAGTAGTAGATGATATTCTTTCTAAGATATTGATATTGGAGGCAGAAGTCTCCTCTTGCTGTCATTAAAAAACTACTTGACTTAGAAGTTTAAACAAACCAAATGATATGTTAAAAGATGATGATGATGATGATGATGACAGGAAAAGATCATCTCCCTCAGATCCTGAGGGTATATACTTTTTAAACTGGGATTAGGCTCCTGCTTCACACTCAAGCACCATTCCCTAGCACACTCTAGAGAATAAGAATGTGTTCATTTGACCAGAAACCATAAGGCCTGATCATGAAGAAAGAATTGTGAAGAGAGTAGCGCAGCATCAAAAATCAATCTGGGCGCTGCATTCCCTCCGGCGAGAATGAATTTGGCTTGCTGGCTAGCGCGGGCTCCCGGCAGACACTCCCAGATGATGCTCACAGATATTTTGCATGGCTAAGCACCAGACAAAGACCAAAAACAGCCTTGTAAACTTTTTGCAAATTAACACTACTCAGTTGGTGACACACGGTGAATTCTTTTTCTCTGCGCTTTACTGTGCAAGCTGGGAAAACAAAAGAGAATGGAAAACAGACTAGGCCACTTGTTTTAACTCTTTGATGGGAGAGCAAAAATGTGGCCTTTGGTTCTGTGACTCTATTTTTTTTAAAGCTGGCCAACTGTGTTCTTCCAAGAACCACTTACGTTGTCCACACAGTGGCCCATCCCATCTCCATAGTGTCATCACCAAAGTGGTGTCAGCCACTGGCCCTCAGAGCTGCCAAGAGCCGCCTGCTGCTGGAGGCTGCGCTGCAACCTTCCCGTTCATTTCCCACAGCCTCAAGTCCCAGCTTGCTGCCTATCTCCAGACCCGAGGGGAGAAAAGATTCTGCTAGAAGAGATGCAGAACAACGCAGAGGAATAACAGAGCCTGACTTTTTTTCTTTTTTAGGCATGGAAATTCCTTAGAACCTTAAAAATAAAATCCAATCTCTTGAGGAAGGAAACCATAGTGGTTCTGCAAAAGCTACCCTAGAGCTCCTCATCTCCTTTCTCTTTGGCTAGTAATGGATAGGACAGAATTTGTACACTGGTGGATCCGTGGGTTTGTATCAGATCTCAGAGGCTGGAGAAAATTAAGCAAATAAGCCAGGAAGTCTCATTCCCTTGATGCCTAACAGCCTCTGTGCTTCAGGCCGGGGTCTGATGCTTGAAGATGGCTGCTAGCACCACTTGCTGTAGATTCAGAGACAGGAAAGAAAAAGACACTCTGGAGGCTGCCCCATAAATGGGATGTGTGTGTGTGTGTGTGTGTGTGTGTGTGTGTAAAGAGGGAAGGAGAAAGGGGAGAGGTAAAGAGAGAAAAATAAGGAAAGAAAGATTCTGTGAAGTCTCTTAAACAGTATGCATACATGTATTAATTTTTCTGGAGAGAGTATCTATAGCTTTAAGATTCTCGAGAGGAAAGCGCTAGCCTTGAGCTGAAGAGCTGAGGGACAGCGCTCAGGCCCAGAGTTTGGGCCCCACGACTGGACTGAAAAAAAAAAAAAGATTCTTGAGAGGGTTGGAAGGTGGCTCAGTGGTAGAGGGCTTGCCTTGCATGCATGAGGCCCTGAGTTCGACTCCTCAGCACCGTATAAGCAGAAAAAGCCGGAAGTGGTGCTGTGGCTCACATGGTAGGATGCTAATCTTGAGCTGAAGAGCTGAGGGACAGCGCCCAGGCCAGAGTTCAGGCCCATGACCAACAATAGATAGATAGATAGATAGATAGATAGATAGATAGATAGATAGATAGATAGATGGATGGATGGATGGATGGATGGATGGATGGATGGATAGATAGATAGATAGATAGATAGATAGATAGATAGATAGATAGATAGATAGATAGATAGATGAAAAGAAAGATTGACAAGGAGACCTCTGACCCCTAATACGGCTAGTGTTACACAGAGCCAGAGGAAAGCTTCACATACATTGCAAAGTCTAACTACAATAACAGAACAAATGATGTTTCACCCTCAGGAAAAATAGTCATAATATTATCATTGGTGGGTTGTTTGTACTTAAGCAATATTGTAGTAATATATTCCTATAATAATGCCAAATTGTAAATTATTCTCCTTTTCCTATAAACACATTATGCATAGTGGTTCTAAAAGGGGCTTTGCCTATGAAGCATTCAAAAACACTTCACTGCATCATTAATTTAGTACAGAAGCAAGATGCTACTCAAATATTAATAAAGAATCGTCCAAATAGTATTGTTTGTTTTCTTTAAATTTGTAAGGGCTTTTTTTTGGGGGGGGGGAGGGAGATTTAAAAGGCCTAAGTTTCACTTAAAACAAAACTTCAAGATCAGAAGTCTGAGGAACTGCTTTCCTGCAGTCAGGGTCGAGGTCCATGTTGACTTTATTTTTGAAGGACCAGTGAGTGCTAGGGTTCAAGGACTCACCCGACCACGAAAAGCCTGACTGTGGAAGGACACAGGACATGCGCATGCGCAGTAATACGCCCCAGGATCCGAAGCGAGGTCACACCACAGTGGCTGCCAGCCACACTACCTGAGCACGCACCCCAACTCCCCCTGGTCTGGCTGTTACTTCCCTTCCTCCAAAGAGGGTGGTGCCACCTCCCCCCAGACCTGAAGACATGGGGTCATACTGTAATCCTCCTCTTCTTCAAAACAAACAGAAGTGAAAGTTATCTTCCTACACACACACACACACACACACACACACACGGCTTCCACCGCCACGGGAGCCCGCCGCTCCACGCGAACCCACGTGAAGATCTAAAACACAAGAAGCATACGACCGGCCTACACCAGGCCTGTGCGTTCTGCCCAAACTGCAGATCCCAAGGACACCCTCAGGTCAGTGCCGGGGGCTTGTGTCTCTAATCCTAGCTATCATCTCTGGAGGCGGGGGTCTGGGGATCGCAGTTCGAAACCAGCCTGGGCAAACAAGTCCAAGACACTCTGATCTCCAGTTACCCAGCAAAAATCTGGAAGAGGAAGCGTGGCTCACATGACAGAACACCAGCCCTGAGTGAAAGCGCCAGGTGGAGCATGAGCTCGGAGTTCAATCCCAGTGCAGGTGCACGACCCCCCCCCCCCCCGCTTCTTCCCCAAAGTGGGAGCTAGAGAGGAACTTACCAGATGCGGGTGGATGGTCCCCGGGGGCGCCGGCCGTGCCGCCCCGGGCTGAGCCGGCTAGTCCTTCCTGCGCTCCGGCCTTGGGCGGGGCACCCCCTTCTCCCCTTCCAGCCACGTCCTCAGTAGGAAGGCCCAGGCCCTGGGCGCACTGCGGGGATGGTCCACATTTCGGGGAGCATGTCGCGGGCTGGGCGTCCTCCCCGGCCTCGGCCGCCTCCGGGCTGTCCCCCCAGGGCGGGCCGCTGCTCCCCTCCACTTGTTTTCCGAGGTTCTTTTCGGGGGACCCCGGCATCCAGTCGGTCCGGCTCGGGGGTCCAGTGGAGAGGCAGCTCTCCGACTCCCCCAGGCTCTCCGTCCCCAGGAAGCACTGGCTGAACCTGTCGTTCTCCCCGACCTCCAGGGGCTCTGAGAAAGGGGGTGTGGATTTGCTTCCCGGCGGGCTGGGGTGCAGCGAGGAGTCTGGGGTCTGCGGGGGCCGGTCCACGTACTCGTCTTCCGTGGGGATCTGTCTGAAGGGGTCCCCCTCCATCTCCTCCTCGCTGACCAAGGAGAACACGCCAGCATCTTCGCCGGGCGCGCGGGCCCGGCCTCCCGCACACAGGTGCCCCCAGGCCCCGGCCCCGTCCAGGGAGCATGCTTCTTCTAGAACCATCTTCTGCTCCAGAGTGAGCAGTAGCACGCCTTCGCACGCGTCGCGCTGGCTGGAGGCGGTGGGGTGCGCGCCCGCACGACTGTCCCCCGAGGCTTCCTGCGGGGACCAAGCCACAGGCGCAGGCGACCAGACTCAGTAGACAGAACGCTGCAGGACACCGCGCGGGTTCGAATCCATTCCCCCCAAATGCAACCATCCCAGTGACACCTCAACTGCGATTTACCATCTCAGGGCAGCCTGCACCCCGGGCTCACGCCTGTAACCCCAGCTACTCAGGAGGCTGAGATCTGAGGATGGCAGTTTGAAGCCAGCCCAGGGAAGAAAGTCCACGAGATTTTCCACTGTCTCCAATTAAACACTCAAAAACCGAAGGTGCCCCTGTGGCTCAAAGTGGTAGAGCGCTAGCTTTGAGCAGAAGAAGGCCAGAGACAGTGCCTACGCCATGAGTTCAAACCTCATGGCTGACATAAATACATACATACATACATATATACATAAAATTACAGAATGTGAGAAGAGCCTACAAAATCCAAGGACTCCTACTACATTTCAAAGGAATAAAGTCTCGCACCTCAGCAAGCAAAGACCTTAACCCAACAATATCTGAACAAAGTGCTTTGATGATCTAATCTCAGTTTAAGTAGATGAAAACAATAACAAAAATGTAACCCAATTTTGAATCTTCAGTTGGCAGTAGCTCTATTTGGATGCGGTATGGCTAGGTAATTCTGAAACTACTTCTGTGTACTCCAGACTTGAGCACGGGAGTAAAGATGCTGAGAATAAGAGGCTCTCCCGATCACAGCGCTCACTCGGGAAGCGAAGAGCCTAGTGAGGAAGGGAAAGGGGGGAGGGAATGCTGCCCTGTGGTGGGACAGGAATTCAGGAAATCAGTGTAAGGCTGATAAGCTTTTATACACAAGAGCATGGATCTAGAGGACAAAATGGAATAATCAATGGAATTTTAGTATTACATATAGACTGGAAAAATGTTATCTTTGTACTTTTGAGAAATATACTATCGTTATAAACAAGAAGACCTTTATTCTTAAGAAATATCCATTAAGGTATTGGAGGCGATAGGAACATGCCATCTCCACTCAGCTCCATTCACGCCTGGCTGCCGGTGACAGCACCCAGGAGCCTATAGACTTGGGAGGCTGAGATTACTGGGGAACAAAAGAAAAACTGAGAGGTGTCTTCTCAATATGGATGTCCTTTTTTGTTATGCTAGCTACTGGGAAGTCTAACACGAGTGGATCTGAGTTAGTTATATCCCAGGGAGGAAGTGAGACCCTGTCTCAAAAATAACTAGCAAAAATAGGGTTAGGGGCACATCTCAGTGGGAAATGATCTCAGCTAGCACACACGGGACCAGAGTTCAAAGTCAAATGCTGCCAAAAAGAAAAAAAATTAAATCATGTATTTTCTTGTTCCCATATATAGGTTAGAGAAAGCAAAAAATATAGCAGTATGATAAAACCTGAACAATTTGGGGGAATATCAAAGTTTATTGTAATATTTTCACCATTTTTCTAAAATTTTGAAGTTCTGTCTAAATCCAAGGGATAAAATAACTACAGTGTGAAGTTGTAGATGAGTCTCCCTAGGACTCTACACTAGGCACTCACAATGATACACACAAACAAACAAACAAACAAACAAAACACCGACACAGACAAGAGAGAAATAACCCGGGGGCTGTGTTGTGGCTCAGTGGTAGAGTGCTTAGCTAGCATGCTCAAGAACCTGGGTTCAATCCCCAGCACTGGAAAGTTGGGAGTGGGAAGATATGTAACGTACATACAGCATAAGCATTGACATGAGCCCCGCATTATTTTGCAGAGCTTAATCTTGGGGCTTCCGGTTTGATAGTGTACATGGAAGTAACTGTTAAGTAATAGGCTCAATAATTGACTAATTATAGTCCCATCTGCCTGATGGTTGGAAGTGCTTAAAGAGGGTATTAAAAACTTTTAACTTTACCTTGTTTCCACTTAGGCTGCCGCAAGCATCATTGACCCAGTGCCACAAATTAGCTAGAAAAACAAAGCAAGGAGAAGGGCTTCATAGTATGATTTCCTATTGCTTTTTAAAATAACTTTCAGCTGGAATGTTTACCTTGATCCTACTGGATAAATATAGGTTGTAAAATGGTTACTGTAGTCAAACAAATTAATGCATCTACCATGTCATGTAGCTGGAGGAACTAAAAGCTACCCATTTAGTGAAAGTCCTCCCCTATACTTGTTTATTCTGCAGGTCTGTGCCTTTGTGTCCTTTGACCTACTTCTCCCCATTTCCTTCCCTCCTGCAGCTGCTAACCACTCTAATTCTTTGCCTCCGTATGTGTGTCTTTCACCTCTTTTTTGATTTCACACATGAACTCAAGTGATACTTTCTCAGTGCCAGGCTTAGTATTATTTGCAACAATGTCAGCTCAATATTCGGCTATAAGTACCTCAGTGAGTGTTCCTGTGAGTAAAAAACATTTCAATAAAAATCACCTGGTGCTCAGTGGGGGGAGGCCCTTGCTGGGCCACATGCCACACCCTAAATTCAATTCCTCCAACAACAAAGAAACAGGTAAGTAAATAAATAAAGTATCATCAGCAAACCGAATGAAGGCTTGAATCCATTCATTAAAAAAGATACCTCTTGCAGGTACGGGTGTCTCACTCCTGTAATTCTAGCTACTCAGGAGGCCGAAATCTAAGAATCACAGTTGAAATCCTGACTGGGCAGACACATCCACAAGACTCTTACCTCCAGTCAGCCAGCAAAAAGCTGGATGTGAACGTGTGGCTCAGGCAGTAGAGTGAAAAAGCTGAGCAAGTGCTTGAGGCCCTGAGTTCAAGCCCCAGTATCAGCACGCAAAAAAAGAAAAAGGAAGAAAAATTACACTTCTTTGAGCCTTGTAGCACAAAGTTAAATACAATGTAATAAAGACATTATCAAACAGTTTTGTGGGAAAAATATTGTCAAAAAGTAACACTTGATTGTCAAAATTCTAAGAATGAGGGATTCTATCTAAATTCTACTGAAAATAAGATAGCTTATTTCATAATTTTAGACTTACATTTAAAAATAACACCCCAGTCCAAACCTCCTTTACATCACCCTTTATCTGGAAACTTTTATCTGTGCCTTAATAGGTACATTAAACAGTGGATATGTTCTAGAATAAATGCACTCCTTATATATCTGATGCTGTACAAGCCATATAACTTTACCTGCAGCTTATAAGATATTGGCTTCCCAAATGCTAGAATATTCTTTTTTGCCCATATACAGATAGGCATACTGATGGCTTTTGTTGTTGTTGTTGTTCTAATCTCAGGTTTAAACTCAGAATGAGCACTATCCTCTAGCTCTTACCCTCAAGGATAGCACTCTACCATTTGAGCCACAGCTCCATTTCCAGTGATTTGCTGGTTAATTGGAGATTAACCAAGTCTCCCAGACTTTCCTATGACTGACTTGGAAATGTAATCCTCAGATCTCAGCCTCCTGAGTAGTTAGGATTACTGGCATGAACCACTGGCAGCTGGCTTGGTTTTCATTTTTATTTATTATTTATTTTGCTAGAGAACAATCAAACACAAAAGGCGTTTTACCTTAAAGTGTGGCCACCTCAAGGCAGATCCCTTAGACAGACAGTTGGCAAAATGTTTACCAAGAAACATATCCATTTCCTTTAAGATTGCTTATGAAGCACCACTGTGACACAGTACCTGTGAGTGCTTTCCCCTTCTTCCTATAGTAAACACCAAAGATGACAGCAACAAGTACCACCACAGTCACGAAGAGCAGCACAATAATCAAACCAGGTAAGTACTGGGGTTCTATGTTGGAGACAAATGCAAAAAATGATGGCTATTAAAGACTATTCCATTTGACCTAGTTAAAACAAAAAGCAACACTGTAAATCCTGCCCCCAAATTAAGGATACGGGGGTCTGGGTAACAGAAGCAGGAACTCTTCTAACCTAGACAGTGTAGTTGTCAGAGAGCACTCACCGTGTAGAGTGTGAACTGTACAACCTAGCCCAGTCTTGCTTTGTCAGCATCCCTTTACATGAAGTCAGCCCAGGACTATCTACCTTAAAACTTCTCGAATCACATTCCTCAGGGCCATCCTACTTTGTCTCTGTTGCCCCCAGAACTCTCTCATCTCTCTCCAGGTAGATAGTCTCCACAGGCAGAAGATGCTGTTGTCATGTCTCTGTCCAAAAACCAACATGGCCCCAGGGTTTTGCTGACTACAAGAACAGAACCACAGCCATGCAAGTCTCCAGGGCCAGGATCTCTAGCTTTCTTCTCTTTCTTTCTCTTTTTCTTTTGTTAGTATGGGGCTTGAACTCAGGGTACTATCACTAAGCTTCTCTCATTAAAGCTAGTGTTCTTCTACTTTGAGCCATAGTCCCACTACTGGTTTTCTGGTAGTTCATTGGAGATAAGAGTTTCACACTTTCCTGCCTGGGCTGGTTTTTGAACCATGATCTCAGATCTCAGCCTCTTGAGTAGCTAAGATTACAGGCATGAGCCACCAACACCTGGCTCTTTGCTTTTTAAAAATATGAATATATTATTAGTTATTGTATTAGTCACTCCCAATCTAGTTTAAAAAATTATCAAGTAACATAGTATCTGTGAGGTACTAAGTTCAATCCCCGGCACTATAAGAAAAAAACTAAATGAATAAGCAACATTATGGAATTGAAATACTAAGGAGTATATAACACTGAGCTGACTACATTTGCAGAGGCCCAGATGAAAGCCTGAAGATACAGCCTGTAGTTCTGGAGAGAAACAGAAAGCTCACCACCTGGGACAGGCGCTACTTAGTCATACCCATCGGTGGTGATCCAGGTGGCAGAGAGCTGCAAACCACGTCTGATTTCTCTGTTCCATGTCGTGTTTCTGTCTTTCCAAGGATGGTACAGCTGTGGAAGGGAAAGTACTTAAGAGCTTAAATATTAAGTATTAAATGTAAGATTCTTGTTGAAAAACACAAACCAAGGCAAGGCTCTACTGGAGATTCCTACAAGAGGGGACTCTATGGGCATCTTGGACATTTGGGTTCCCAGGCCCTTCCGTGGGGAGCAGCCCATCACATTAGTTCCTAGAGAATATTCTAAGAACTACAGAGAGTGTGCTCAGGAAGAGAATAAACTTCAAGAAGGAAGATTCTAAATCTTTTAGTTAGCATAGTTAGGTGATGATGCCCTTTGGAGGTGAAAGATTTTTGCAACACAAAATTTGGGTTGAATGAGTCAGGAAATAATACCTAATAGAACATATTGGGAACTAGGTACCAATACTAGCTACTCAGGAAGCTGAGATCTGAGGATCATGGTTTGAAGCCAGCTCAGGCAGGAAAGATTGTGAAATACTTATTGCCAGTTAACCAGCAAAAATTTGGAAGTGGAGATGTGACTCAAGTGGCAAAGTGCCAGCCTTAAACAGAAAAAGCCAGTGAGAGTATAAGAACCCAATTTATTGGCTTTTAGGCCAAATTCAAGTATCAAATAAACAAACAAAAGAAAAAACATATTTGGAACTAAAAACCCCATTACATTAATCATTATATTTAATAATAACTATGTAGTGAAAGGATCCAGGAATTCAACTCTAAATAGGCTCATATAAGTGAGTCATAGTATATAAAGTTTTAACATCCATAACTTGAAAATCTAACATCAAAAATACTTCAGGGCTGGGAAGGTGGCTCAGTGGTAGAGCGCTTGCCTTGCATGAATGAGGCCCTGGGTTCGATTCCTCAGCACCACATAAGCAAAAAGAAAAAAGCCGGAAGTGGGGTTTTGGTTCAGTGGTAGAGCGCTAGCCTTGAGCTGAAGAGCTGAGGGACAGCGCCCAGGCCCAGAGTTCAGGCCCCATGACTGGACCCCCCCCCAAAAAAAAAGAAAAAGAAAAGCTTTGCTACAGAGAATGCTCTGGTCCTGCCTTGATCATCCCCCTAAACGTGCTCACCTCTGAGTATCCCCCTGATATGGGAAGTTTGAGGAGTGTGGTAAATGAATGGTAGGAAATGTCATAAATTAGGGGTTTGTGTATGTATTTAGGCTTGAATTCAAGGCCTTGCATTTCTGCTTGGCTTTTTTGTTCAAGGCTGGCATTCTACCATTTGAGTATTCACCGATACTTCCAGAAATGACATAAAAGAAGGAGTACTTCATATACTTGATATCCTGGGTTCTGTCCCAAGCACTATACAAATAAAAAATGTCATAAGTAGTTTTCCACTAAATATGGTTAGAAAAGGGAAAATAGAAGCTACACCTCTAAGTCATAGACTACTGAATCCAAGAAGTGACACAAAGGTCTTGTCACACATGACTGAGTAGACAGACTTTATCCAAGAGGAAGCTACTAGAAAGACTCAGCCTGTTCTCATGCGGATGTGAGAGTGGAGGTGTGGCTATTTAAAAGGCAATGACTTCTTTCGACATCTTCATTGTTACTTACTTGGTCCAGGGTTTGCATCTTCCCGTGGAAGAAAAGGTATCAGAGAACTCGCCGAGGGGACAGGGCTCGCACACCGTGTCCGTGTTGAGCTGCACTGTCCAAACACCGACAGACACAAAGGACAAACAGAAAGCAAACAACACTTAGAGATCAGCCAGGACGGTGTTTCCCAGGCCTCAGCCATCTCTGCTTCTCATTCTTCCTGACATTTGCTCCACAGCCTGTGTCAATGGCTTGAGCCTAGCAAGCAGTTCTAATTCCTGCAATGAGCTACAGAACTCTGTTCAGAAATGAATTGGTAGCCAGGCCCTGGTGGCTCACACCTGTAATCCTAGCTACTCCAAAGGCTGAGATCTGAGGTTTGATGCCAACCCTGGCAGAAAAGTCCATGAAACTGTTATCTTGGGCAAAAAGCTGGATGCAGAGCTGTGGCTCAAGTGGTAAAGCATTAGCTTTGAACAGACAAGCTAAGGGACAGCTTTAAATTCGAGCCAAAACAAAACCAAAACAAGCAAACTGGTTCCATGTGAGGTCAGTAATGCCTGTGTGGTATGTCCACAGCTCGGCTTGATCTTTTGCTGTCTTGAGTCACTGACCTGGGCATTAACATGCTATTTCCTAGTCTGGGGGCCTGTGTTACTAGGTTTTGCTATCTGACCTTTCCTTTCTGCTATTATAATTACAAAAGCCTTCATTTTCTGAGAATGGGCATTCCAGTATTGTCTTTAAGAGAAATACATTGTCTCTGGTCAGCTTAATTTCCAAGTATTGGAGTGGCAACAATGTTCTCTCAATTAAAAAAAAAAAACACAAAAACCTGTTAGGTCTCTTTCTTTCCAATCAAGGGTTAGTGTCAACTTTTCTATATAGAGCCATGTACTAAGTATCTCAGGCAAAACACTTATAGACAATGTTTAAAATAAATAGATGTGACCACATTCCAATAAAACTTTATTAACAAATCCGAGTGGTGGGATGGACCTTTGTCTTAACCCATAGTGCTCAAATCAGGAGTTGATTCTGGTTGGTAAACGTCACTCCATTCTCATAAGCTCCATTAAAAACAAACAAAAAACTAAACTAAACTAAAAGCCAGATACTAGGGGCTCACCCCTATAATCCTAGCTTCTTAGGAGGCTGAGAGCTGAGGATCACAGTTCAAAGCCAACCTGGGCAGAAAAGTCCCCATGGGACTCCTACCTCATGTTAACCACTCAAAACCAGAAGTGGCACTGGGTATCAAAGTGATAGGGCACTAGCCTTGAGCAAAAGAGTTGAGGGACAGTGCCCAGGCCAGACCCTGAGTTCATGTACCACAACTGACAAACAACAACAACAACAAAAGAAAAAAAACTAAAAGAAAACCCACCAAGAGCTGTCTCAGTTCCCTATGTCTAGTACTGTTCCTTGCTGAAACTGGCACATAACCCTTTGGTAGGTCCAATAAAGAATACTGGCTGCTATGTGAAATAACAATCAGGCAACTGGCCTAGGCCCAAACCACAAAGTACTCATGGAATTATTAGCACTTCCGTGGTCGATTTTCATGAGTATAGTCTTAAAACAGGAATTAAAATTTACTTGCTTAAAGTCAGGCAGTACATTCTTAATTTCTTAGACTCACAGATAGATACTGTCCTCTATATAAACTGAAATGAATGATATTAGAATTCTCCCAACTCTGTCCAACTATTTTGCCTTAAAGTGCACATAACCTTTCACATAAGTGAAAGGTTAACAATAATCATTTGTTGCATCTTGGGAGAAAAAAAAATCTTCTTTGTAATACTTCCTAGACATTGGGAAAGCAAATGACTCTAAGAAATACTTGTACATGCAGGGAAATGGAACTAAGGAACTCGAGGGGACAGAGGGGGTTGGGACAGATGGGAAGAGAGAATTCATGGGAAGGTGACACTGGTCAAGGTGAGGGCACACATGAATGGAAATGTGAATTGAAACCTCTTTGTGCAACTATCTTATTAAAGATAATAAGAAATGAGAGAGATACTTGTATAAATCCAAAAATCTCTATTTCTTTTCTTTCAACAAAACTGAAGATGAGCCAGGTGCCAGTGGCTCACACCTTTAGTCCTCGCTACTTGAAGCCTGAGATCTGAGGATTGTGGTTTGAAGTAGCCTGGGTTAAAAAAGAGTCTGTGACACACTTATCTTTAATTAACCACCCCCCAAAAAACAAAAAGCCAGAGTGGAACTGTGGTACCAGTAACAGAGGACACACCCAGGTCCTGAGTTCAAGCACCAGGTTTTGCAAATAAATAAATAAGTAAATAACTTTAGGCTTGGTACTGGTTGATCAAGCCTGTAAGCCAAACTACTCAAGAGGCTGAGATCTAAAGATCGAAGTTTAAAGCTATGCATATCAGTAAGTCCCACGAGATCATCTCTAATTACATAGCAAAAACCTGGAAGTAGAGCTTTGGCTCAAGTGGTAGAGTACAAGTCTTCACTGTAACACACACACATAAAATATAAAATAATGACTATAACATAATAAAATATAGAATAAAAATAATAAAAATAACTTCTGATGTCCTGTCACTGTGTGATCATGGCCACACAATACAGAAGGCACAGAACGGTGAATATCAAACTGCTCTGGTGCTTAGATTTCATTGATTGTGTGTGTGTGTGTGTGTGTGTGTGTGTGTGTGTGCATGTACACATGCTGGTTCTAGGATTTGAACTCAGGGCCTGGGCATTGCCTGTGATCATTTTGTCTTTTTTGCTCAAGGCTGGCAGGCACTCTACCACTTGAGCCACAGCTCCCCTTGTGGCTTTTCTGTGGCTAATTGGAGATAAGAATCTCATGTACTTTCCTGCTGGGTCTGACTTCAGACCATGATTCTCAGAGCTCAGACTCCTGAGTAAGTAGGATTACAGGCGTGAGCCACCAGGACTTGTTAGTCTCGACTGTTTTAAAGTGTTTACTTCATTTATAATTCTCTGGCAACTAAATCCTAAGCAACTGTTTAAAATTTGTCATTAGAAGAAAGACTGTAGGAGTCAAAGCAATGCCTGATGTGCACAGGTTCCCAATTTTGTGTGTGTGTGTGTGTGTGTGTAAGAGGATGCATCATTTTTTTAAGAAGAAAAGGAGGGGGGACCTTGCACTAGTCTTGGTTCCTAAGAGGGTTCTTGCCATTCCCTGGCCTCCAGGGCACAGGAGGCCCGGCCCCCTGGACTGGGGTTCATTCCCCGGTCTGGCCTGAGCCTGTGTCTCTTGGGAAACCCAGGGGTCCCCCTTCCTCTCCACAGTTCCTAGGTGTCCCCTGGCTCCCCAGAGCTGCAGTGACACGGGCTGGGAAGTGGCCTTGCTGGGGCGGGCGCGGGGCGGCGGTGACCGTGCTTACAGGGCCTCGCGCCGGAGCCGGGCGCGCACTCGGTGTTCCGCCGGCAGCACTGGCAGTCCTGGCTCCAGTGGTACCCCGCCGTGCAGACGCAGCGCCGCGGGGCCGTGCGGTTGCCGGGGTCCAGGGCCACGAGGCCCTTGCCTGTGGGAGACAAAGAGCCCATCAGCGCCTGGGCGGTTAGGTTATGTGGGGAAAGTACAGAGGCAGCACGAAGGCGGCTTGGGGATCAGGCTCTGAACCCAGACACTTCACTCTAATCAAAACACAGCTTCGTCTTCTCCCTCCACACTCCTGGCTCTGGCCAGTGTTTCTGGAATCAGTTCTGAACTGTGCGTGCAAACACACGTGCGCGCACACACATGCATGCATGCACACAGTTAACCCTAACTATTCACACATTCACAATTATGAATCTGTGAGCTCACTCACACTTCATCATCACCTAAAGTCAATGATTTCGGTGTGTTTCTCCATCTCCTGTGCACACGCGCAGAGCTCTGCAAGCACTGAGCCACCCTGAGCCGCTCCACACCGATTTCCCCTCTGCCTTCTTGTTCCAGCCCTCACAGCCAAGTGACTGTCCCTCACGCAGTCTAGCCAGCGCCATGTTTTCCTCCCTTACTGCTTTTTGTTGGTGATGATCCCCAAGGTCGAGCTGAAAATGCTGGGTGGTGTTCCGCTGCGAGAAGGCGGCTGTGTGCCTTACAGAGAAAACCCGTGTGTGAGAATGACTTTGCATGTGCTGCGCGGCCCTGGCCATGAGCTCGCTGTCAAGGAGTCGACCATACATCAAGCAAAGAGTAACCCACATGCAACAAGGGGGGTGTGGATGGTTGGTGACAATGTCCTGACCTGGGCCTTGCAGGAACCTAGCCCTTAGGATCAGCGGTCTTGAATTTGCTGATTCATCGCAGTCAATGAATAAAGAGAATGAACTGTATGTGCACACACATAGAACGAAACCCTAACCTTGTTTAAAACTGACCTGGACCCCAGCTCATCTGGATTGTCCCAGTTAGTCCTTGTACCATTATATTTGTCTCTTTAAAGAGACACATTAACCAGAAACTGCTTCTTCATTGTCTCAAGCTGCAGCCCCACCAGCTGGGAGGCATCATTTCCTATCCTTTTCAGGCCAAGGGTGGTGAAATCCCACTACCCTCCCGTTCCCATTCTTCCCGCCCCGGGGGAGCTCTACAGGACCAAGGCATGGGGCATACAAGGACAAATGCCACTTTTCTGGAGTATTCTAAATATTCTGGAAAGTTCAGTAATGCCACTCAACTGTAAGTGACTATAAGGTGGTGAATAGTTTTGTCATCTTTTAAAATATTTTAGTGTATTTAGTTTTATTTGGGAGCAGACAGTATGAATCTTTATTTCCAAGAGACAGGAATGAGTCAAGGTCATTACTAAGCAATGGGAAATAAAGACTTGATCAAATACTTCTGCTCAGTGGAGTTTCCATGCTACCTTCTGGCCCCAAATCTGCCAGCTGCCTCTAACATATTAGAGACAATTACAATGTTAAAAAAATTACTCAGTTCTTAGTTCTGCCCAGTGGGGGAAAATTTACAATGTTAAAACAACAATAAACTACTTAGTTCTTAGTTCTGCCATTGGAGGAGGGGTGGGGGGAGGGGGGCGGGAAGCAAAGCCTTCAATGGAAGATCAATCCAGTAGCAATGAGTCTCCCTACTACTTCAACTGAAATTACTGAACAAAATGATCTGCTAAAAGCAGCAAGGGATCCTTGAGGAAAGGAGGAAAGTGATTAGGGGAAATCTGGAAGCCAGGAGCCCTCCGAAATGCCTGGAGTTGAATCAGAAGACAGGCCACCTGCAAGAAGTGGCCCCCATCCTGGTGCTCAAATGGTCACTAACTTCACCAGACTGAAGTGCCCCAGACTCATCTAAACTTATGAGTTCATGCTATCAATAGGAATCCTTGGGTGGCTGAGTTATTTTGGAGTCACAGGTGATGTTATGAGCATCTTTCCTAGAGGTGCTGCTGCATGTGAGGAGAAACAAATCATGCGTGAGGGATGTCTGTCTACATGAAGCATCCCAGCAAATCAGTGAGGAGAGAATGGGGGTGGGGAGATGAAGATCTTACATCCTACATATCCCAATAAAAATAGATAGAATAAGCCAGTTTCCGCCGCAGCCCCCAGAAACATAAAAAAATTGAGCTACATAGCTATTGTGCAATTCCAACACTGCACTAAATATAGGAACGATACAATGCATGAGGGTTGTTTTGTTGTTGTTGTTTTTAACCAAAACCAAATCAAGCCAGAATCTGGTCAGCTTTCTATTTAGAGGAACCACAGGGCAGCAGAAGAATGCGTTCAAGATTTAGCTGATACATCTACAACCAGACATACAACCAGACAAACCCACACTCAAGTTCCACAAGGCAATACTGTGGGGTCTTCAACATGTAAACAGAGTAGAAGAAAAAAAAGAAAGAGAAAGGAACTTGTGAGAAGAAATTATAGTCACTCTTTGTTTGGTTGCTTTTGTTTTTAATCTTTTTGAGATAGTCTTGTCTGTAGCCCACGCTGGCCTTAAACTCTATCTTCCTGCCTCACCCTCCTGAATGCTGGGACTATAGGAATGTTCAGCCATATCAGACCAACAAACTATAATTTAGAAACATTGAAGACAACACAAGAAAATAAGGCAATCTGGTAAGAAGATCAAACTGTAAAGCTAGTAAAACTTTTACAGTTTAGGAAAAAGCTTTACATATCAGAAGAGTAGCTCTGAGTCTTATTTCTCTCATCTGTAAACCTTGGAGAAGTCATGCAACCCAAGTCTAACTCTCCATCTTGAAAATGGGAAAAGTCCAGCTATCTTACAGGGATCTGGGAGGAGCAAATGACACAGCACTGTAGGAATGTGTGTCAACTGTAAGTTGTGTTCGTAATTAAACTGCAGCATAAGCATATTGTAGAACAAAAAGTTCTAAGTGAGGAATTTTTTTACGCTAGGTCCAATGGTACATACATAGAATCCTAGCTACCTAGGAGGCAGAGATCAGAAACATCAAGATTAGTGGCTAGTCAAGACAAAAAATTAGGAAGATTTCATCTCCACAAATAAACGAGGCATTCTGGTGCCTGTAATCCCAGCTAGTCAGGAGGTATAATTAAGAGGATCACAGTCTAGGGCCAGCCCTACAAAAGCATGAGACCCTGTCTGTAAAATAACTCCCCCCCCCAAAAAAAAGAGCATTTTAACCCAGGGCTTCAAGGATCTAAAACTACAGTCACAATCCTTTATGGACTCTTCAAAAGAAATAACACTTGTATCTGAAAACATTTACAGAATGGGAGATTTTTCAGGACAAAAGATGATCTCTGCGTTCCATTCTTCCCACCCACATGCTGACATTCCTAACTCACCTGTGTCACAAACTTTATGCAGCAAGCATTTATCTTCTTCATTCCAGGTCTCCAGATATTCCTCTGGGCCACAGGGCAGACAAACACTGTCAGAGGTAGTAGTGCATTTAGAAGACATGTACTTTCCTTAAATTGGAAGAGGGGAAAATGCACCAATCAAAACCAACACAACAACACATTAAAGACTGTACCAGTGATAAAAACAGGTCTAAAATGCATGGCTTGTATGTATGGCACAAGGGAAAAACACACGAGTAGCACTACCCGCCCTGCAGGCTCATGGACAGTTTGGGAGTCACATACATGAGCACGAATGTTGTGTTCATGACAATCACTGGAGCTTGGTTTTGCACATCCAAGAAATATCAGCAGCTGAAACAACCAAAGGGTTTGGGAGTAGGAAGAGTGGTACTGGGGCTTGAATTCAGGACCAGGGCACTGTGGCACTCTGCCACTTGAGCCACCCTTCTGGCTTGTTGGTGGTTAGAGATGAGAATGTCACAGACTTTCCTGCCCGAGATGGCTTTGAACTATCATCCTCAGATCTCAACCTCCTGAGTAGCTAGGATTAAAGTTGGGAGCCACCAGTTCCCAACTCCCAAAGGCTCTTGTTATAAGGTGTCCTATCTTATACTAGAACATGGAGAGCAGGGACCCTGTGGGCTGGGGCCCTGACAGTGGCCTTAGAAAGACTTGGCCACCCTGCAACAGAACAGCCCTGGGAAAGAGGCAGCCAAGGGTGCGGCTCCCGGCAGGTAGGTGGAGAAGGCCTAGCAAAACGCAGGCAGTTCCAGTGTGGTTATTCCCAAACAAGATTTCTGTGCCAGCAAGAGCTGCATTTCACATTTTCCCAGAGTTTGAATCATAAAGGGGCTAAAATACAGGTTTGAAAACCATGCCTTCTTAAGTTAGTATTATGGGAAATATTGTCTCATGTCAAATGAAAACCCGGCCTTTGAAACAGCCTTTGATTTTTAGGTGGTTTTGTCTCTTGATGGAACAATTTTTGTCTTCTGCGTGTCAGTTATTATTACTTGTCTCTACTATGAAAGGTCTAACCAATTTCTTCCTTCCTTCTTTTCTTCCTCTCTTTCTCTCCCTCCTTCCCTCCCTTCCTTTCCTTCCTTTCACTCTTCCTTCCTTCCCTTCCATTTTCCTTCCCTTCCTTCCTTTCCTTCCTTCTTACCTTCCTTCCCCCTTTCTCTTTTTCTTTCTTTCTCTCTTTTTCTTTCTCTTTCTTTCTTTCTTTCTTTCTCTCTCTCTTTCTTTCTCTCTTTCTCTCTCTTTCTTTCTCTTTCCCTCTCTCTCTTTCTTTCTTTCTTTCTTTCCTATAGGACCATAAAAAGAAGAAGAAGAAGAAGAAGCCGCCAGAGGAAGCGCCCTCCATTGCTCCATTGGCAGCGCTGGACTGCTCTGGGATGGACATACCTGGTTCACATCTGCTGCAGCACCTCCCGTGGAGCTCATACTGCCTGTCTCTGCTGCACGGAGGCGCGACCTGCACAGTCACCTGTGAAGAGGAGTGACATGGGGCAGATATGCACACGTGCTTTACCTGAATGATGCACAAAGCGAGCCACCAACGCACACCTCTAATAAGCATAAGAAAATACTATTAATTGCATACACTGTCATCTTAAAAAAATGTCACTTCCCACTTCTAGATCATTTACCCTATGAATATCTAATCCCAATCTGTCATTTTAGCCCAGGGCTGGACATTTGTTTATATACTTAAACACATATTTTATATGGAAATGAACTCCAGGAAATAGAAACAAGAGGGGTTTTTCTTCGTTGTTGTTTTCTTTTCATCTTGTTTGTTTATCTGTCTTTGGGAGAGTTAGGGGGAACACAGAAATGGAAGGACCAAGGGGGAGCAAAGGCAGCAGTGGTATGCACTAGACACTGTGTTAAACTTGAACTACACAACCTGTGGGTGGGAGGAGAGGGAAAAATTGAGAGAGAGATTGAGGGAAGGTGTGACATTTTCCAAAAGGAAATGTGTTCATCACTTGACTTATGCAACTGTAGCCCCTCTGTACACCACCTTTATAATAACAAGAAAAAAGTTCATAGAGATAGGGTGGATGAATGGAAATTTGCAAACTGTCCTTAGAAAGTTGAAAATTGCTTTACATGAGTCCACATCAAGTGGACTCCCTTCTCTGGGGTCAAATGGCAGCCAATATGGTGGACTCCCTGTGGTCACAGAAGCGCAGGGAGTTTCCTCCTATCATCCCAGCAGGGGATGTCAAGTTTGGTCTTTCAAATTACCTTAGCACTTTAAAAGGTGTTTAACATTGCTTACCTTCTGCAATGTTAGGCCTGCAGAGAACTTTCTTTTTTAAAGGAATCTAGACACATTGCTTAAGCATCATGGGGTTCTGTGTCCTTGCTGGGCCAACGGCCTGAGTCTAATATAAAAATTAATCTCTCAACATGCTCATCTCAATAAAATCAACCAAACCAAACAAAATGCCCAACCCCCATAATGACCAGAGAGGTGAAGGAGCACTCGCTTCACATCCCAGCCTTTTCAGTGCAACAAAAACAACAACAAAAACCACTATCAAAGTAAACAACAAGAATCCACAGGACGGTGGACAGGTGCTCATGTCAGGGCAGGGCAGGGCAACAGAAGACTTGCTTGTAGCTGATGGACCACCTGTACTCCACCCACATGTCAAGCTCGCTGCCCAGTCCTCACACCAGCTTACAGATCTTCCTCTCAGGGAGCTGACAGGTGACTGGTGCACACACACTTGGGCAGGTGTTACCATGGAGGCAGACAGCCTGGGCCCCAGCAGGAGGCCAGGGACAGTCCCCTAAGGGGGCTGGTGAGTGACACAAAATGCTGGGTAGGGAGCTGGGGCTGGGGCTCCCTGGCCTCCTACTGGCTGGACGAGTCAGTCAGAAACACAGTGACTCTGAGATCCAGGAGACGGGAACTACATGCGTTGGGGTTGTACGTGGGTATCCTGGGCCGGGTGACCACTCTCTCTAGACACCTGACAACGTGTGTTGGGTGCTCCAGTGAACTCACTGGGTGACGAGTCCGGTAGAAATCAGGAGGAATGACTTAGAAGAAATCACCAGTCCTCTCCCCCATGCACTACTGTTCCCTTGTTCTGAGAGGCCTTGGTTTTTTTCTGGAAGGAAACGAGGCCCTTCTCAGGGTCTAGCATAGTAAAACACCGTCACAGAGGAAGATGGAGCAGAAGACAAAGGTTATCAATTGCTCTGACCCATTAAGAAAGTGGCAGAGGTGTTTGTCATGTAAGTGCACGCTTGGCCTGTGTGACACACACAGAAAGGTACTTTTCAGGGGAATTTCATAGAAGGTGCGAAGCAGTCACTTAGGGATGCTGTCCAGTGCCCTTCGCCGGGTCTTGGGCTCCAGGATCATCTGACTGGCCACGAGGACAGTCGCTTCCACTTCCAGGACATGGCTCTGACTCATTTAAACCACCCAACATATAACCCACACATGGAATCACTGCTTTCCACAGAATCCTCTGTTCCAGTCTTAGATTCCTGGCCCCCTCCCCACCCCCACATACACACACACACAATGTTCCTTAAAAACCTTTCCTTTCCAAGTGCTGGTGGCTCATACCCATAATCCTAGCTACTCAGGAGGCTGAGGTCTGAGGATCCTAGGTTTGAAGCCAGCCCAAGCAGAGAAGTCTGTGAGACTCTTATCTCTAACTAACCAGCAAAAAGCTGGAAGTGAAAGTGTGGCTCAAGTGACAGAGCCCCTGCCCTGAGTGATAAATCTAAAGGATAGCACCCAGGCCTTGAGTTCAAGCCCAAGTACCAACACCAAAAACCAAAATAAAAATCTTCTCTTTCCTAAGCTTCTACCCTATTATGGCTTAACACCCAGACACACTTTTCTTTTCCTCCAGCAAAAAAAAGCTGAGATGTAATGAATATACCGTATATGTGACCTTTTAAAGTGTAAGAACCAGTGGAGTTGGTATATTCCTACACTGGTATCCAAACATTCTAAAACTAACATGTGCACTTGACGGAGATATAAGTTTACAGGTATTTTAGAGATATTTTGCTGTTGGAAATATTCACTAGAGTGAGGCACAAGGAAATTTTACATTCAGTTAAGAAGATTTAAGTACAAACCACTGTGTTACCTCAGTCCAGTTACACCCAGAGCAAGCCTCAATACACACAGGACTTAAAAGGCAACACATATCCCCACCCGTGTTTAAGGCATGTGAATTGGAAGTAAAGTTTTTAAAATTCTCCATTTCTAGCTGGGTGCTAATGGCTCATACCTATAAATATAGTTACTATAAACATAGCTACAGAGCTGAGCATCCTGGTTTGAAACAAGGCCAGGCAGAAACGTTCATGAAACTCTTATCTCCAATTAACTAGCAAAAAGCTAGAGGTGAGCTGTGGCTCAAGTGGTAGAGCACTAGCCTTGAGCAGAAAAATCCAAGTAAGAGAGAGGTCCTGAGTTCAAGCCTCAGTACAAGGAAGGAAGGGAGGGAGGGAGGGAGGAAGGGATGGAGGAAGGAAGGAGGGCAGGAGGGGAGAGAGGGAGGAAATAACCAATGTCTTTTTGGGAGAGGGGGGTCTTGAACTCTGGGCCTGGGCGCTGTCCCTCAACTCTTCAGCTGAAGGTGAGCGCTCTACTACTTGAGCCACAGCGCCACTTCAGGTTTTCTGGCGGTTTATTGGAGATAAGAGTCTCATGGACTTTTCCTACCCAGGCTGGCTTTGAACTGCCATCCTCAGATCTCAGCCTCCTGAATAGCTAGTATTACAGTGAGCCACCGGTGCCCAGCCCAATGTCTTTTATACATACAAATTCCTAGGCAAGTCTAATAAAGAACCTGGCAAGATGCCCTAAAGTTGCCTCCTCCACCTTTCTTGTGTTTGTCACTTTGTGTCTTGTGTGTGTTTGTTTCAGGATGTTTCTTTTCACAGATGACAGAATCTACCAGAATAAGCATGTCTATAGTCAGTGTAAAGGAAGGAAAAAAGAGAACATAACTTGTGAAGAAAATGATGTGTGTGTGTGTGTGTGTGTGTGTGTGTGTGTGTGTGTTAAGAAATGTGTATGGATTTATAGCCCCTTACAAGGCCAGGTTGGATCTTAGTCTGAAAACCATAAACCGAAGAAACATACATTTCTGCCAGAGAGATTAGTGGATCTGTATATAGAATCCTGTGGGGAAGGTTGGCTTAAACATCTAGTTTCATGCTGCTAAATCAGCCCAGCTGTAAGGAAAGTCATTATGGTTTCTATAATTACTTTTTCGCTCCAGTGAAAATTCACCCTGACACAGAACAAAGCAGAGGCTTGGTCCCCTCTGTCAAATTAAGAGGGAAAGACCTGCAGTTGGAGGTTCAATGGGGGATTTTCCCATAGACTTCTTTTATAAAATGTTCTCCATGCGTCTATTTAAGAATGGGGCTATGATTTCTGAGACGATAGCATCAAATTTCTGAACCTTACAGAACTGAACAAAGTGCTTTTTGTTAAGAAGGAGGTATCAAATGTGAAAATAACACTTAGTATAAGTCTTATTTTTTTTAATGCATCCTTGCAGAAAGTCCCTCTGGGGGCTGTTCCTTTCCAGAAAGCAAGACAAAGAAATGACAAGAGACCAATGTGTGCTGAACGTTACAACTGATACCAGCCCTTACTATGCTGAGCTCACACTACGAAATGATTTCTCACTCAAGTACTTTGTTGTTACAAGTAACTAAACAGCAAACAAATGAAAGGCAGCCTGAACGATTAGAGTTGCCTGCAAACAGACACGCTTGCTTCTTTCATTGTCTATTTTCTTAGTCAACTGAGAAGACACTCCAGAGAGCAGACAGAAGAGTCTTCCTCTCGCACTCCTTTCAGTCAATGTGTCAAAACACACATCCTGCACTGAAGGCATGACTCAAGCGTAGAGCACCTGCCCAGCAAGTAAAGGCCTTGACTTCAAACCCAGTATACCAAAACAACAAACAAACAAAAGCCAATAAAAACAACAAACGAAACAGGTTCTTCCAATTGTGATGTTCTGGGAGACCTTTTCAGGTTCCTTCTTCGCTGCTTTTCTCCAAAAAGAGAGCAGGTACTCTTTTCTATTTTATGTAGATCTTTCCTTTCCTTTCTTTCCCCTTCCTTTTCTCTTTCCTCTTCCCCTTCCTCTCTCCCTCCTTTCCTTCCTTCCTTCTTTTCTTGCTCTCTTTCTCCCTTCCTTCCTTCCTTCTTTTCTTCCTTCCATCCTTCCTTTCTCTCTCTTTCCTTCCCTTCCCTTCTACTTCTCCCTCCCTCCTCTTTTCCCTTTCTTCCTAATTTGTACTAGGAATGGTGGGAAATACATCAGGTAAACACTTTGCCATACTCTCCACCCCAGCTGGAGTTCTGCTCGTGACTACCCACAGTCATATGCCTGTAGATGGAAGGACACCCAGCCATACGTGCTGCCCACCTCCATCAAATACTTCATCCCACTGTGTTCATCCCACTATGTTGAGTTTCAGATTGGCAATGACGCAGCATCAGCAGGTGGAGACTCTCCATAAACACTAGCATTGTGATTCCTCATTTGGAAGCTAAGGACCTTTCTAGTAGGTTGTGGGAGATGTCAGTAATCTGCTACATCTACGTCCCTCACCCAATCACCTGTACTCCATAGAGAGGGATATTCATGTACACACGGAATAGACTTTGTAAGAATAAATTACTAAGATCAATCGTTCCCTGAGAGGACAAAGGGAAAACATAGTCATCAGAAGTGGGCAAAAGAAACCCCTGAAGATCTGAGAGTTTTCCTAACTATGCCACCTTTATTATTATTATTATTAATGATTTACATTACTAGGGTTTGAACGCAGGGACTTGTGCTTGCCAGAAGCCATGGCTGTAGCCCTTTTTTGCATTAGTTACTTTCAGACAAGTTCTCCTGATTTTGCCTAGGCTGGTCTCTGACCATGATCCTCTAACTTCCACCTCCTCTGTCGCTGAGATTGCAGGTGTGTGCCACTGCACTGCACTAGCCATGGCAAACAAGGGCTGCACCGTGGGGCATTCTGGCAGCACACATGGAGGAGGGGCTCAGCTTTTTGAAAAGCAAGCCCAGTTTCAACCAAGAGGTAGTGTCCTGTGGAACTGGGCCAGTAACAAGTGGTTCTGCGATCCTGTCTTCCTAAGCGGTCCGAGTCCTTCTGTGGTTTTCCATCTGGGCTTCAGCTGGTTAGATGAGCCACGCCTGGGCGTGGGCAGATAGGTTACTCACAATGTCTGCAGCTGAAGCAGCTCTAGATTGTATCTGTCAGTGACTTCTGTTAACTAGGCCGAATGCCCATCTAGACACTCTCATTTTAAACAAAATACAGCCAGAATTGCAATTTTATAAAATTTAGAGGACATAGAAAACAAGTTTTTTGTACAAATCCAAACTCCATTTCATGCTTCAGAGCAACACTACATAGACACATGAGGAAATGTGTGTTATAAATTAAAAATACAACCAGACACACTGGCGGCTCATGCCTGTAATCCTAGCTACTAGGAGGCAGAGAATGGGAGAATCACAGTTCCAGGCCAGCCTCAGCCAAAAGTTCATGAGATGCCATCTCCATGGAAGAAACTGGGTACGGTGGTGTGTGGTGTCTCTCATTCCAGCTAGGAAGAGAAGTATAAATAGAGTGGTGTGGTCTAGGCTGACCTGGACAAGAAGTGAGACTCTGTCTAAAAAACAATCAGAACAAAAAGAGCTAGGTTGTATGGCTAGGCACTGGTGGCTCATACCTGTAATCCTAGCTACTCAGGAGGCTGAGATCTGAGGATTCCAGTTTGAAGCCAGCCCAGGCAAGAAAGACTCCATGAGATTCTTATCTCCAATTAACCACTCAAAAACCAGAAGTGGAGCTGTGGCTCAAAGTGGTAGAGCACTAGTCGAGCAAAAGAGCTCAGAGATGGTACCCAGGCCCTGAGTTCAAGCCCCATGACTGAAAAACAAACAAACAAAAACCTAAGAGCTGGGTTGTGCTCAAGTGGTGGGATATCTATCTACCAAGTACAGAGGTCCTAAGTTTGGATCACAGCACCACGAGGGGGGAAAAATCTTAAAGCTAGAAATGGAAAATGGAATAAGGGAGAAAATCTGGGATGGCCTCAGCTCCCCAATGTGCCACTTGGCACAGCCCCTAGGGTAAGATTATCCCACCTGGGAGACAGTGAGCTACAGAATTTGTGGGAAACCCAGAGAGCCAAGGTTATACAGAGCCAGGCACAGGGAATGAGCCACTGCAGAGGGAGGCTTACCATTCATTTAAAAAACACACTGTGATGCATATCCTGAACAAGAATCCCTCTGCCAGAATTGTGGTCCGAACACCAGCAAGTGGGAGGTCAGACATTCAAAAGCCCAGTACAGTCAAAGTGAAGCTCTAGTATTTGTGGTGAATTCAACATGAAGAGAGATGTGTGTTTGCCGGAGGGGATTAGGAAGTTAGAGATCACATTGTGGTCAGCATGAAGTGGACATTCTGAAGAGAATTCTGGTCCTTAAAAACACTGTTACTAGCCTGCTACTAAAGGATTGTGGGGGTTCTGAAATACCTTTTATGAACAAATTTCTGTCCAATGATAGATCATGCAAACCTTCAACTCGAAGGCACTCATTCAATATGGTCAACTCTACTAGGGCCATTGAAAATGACAAATATGAAGCAACTGCTCCCCCATATGTATATGTATACATACAACACACACACACACACACACACACACACACACACACACAGACATATGGTCTCTCCCCAAAGGGGGATTGGGAGTCAGTTGACTTGACTGTAAAACATAGAGTAAGACCAGTCTTTCCTTCACCCAAGTCAGTCACCCTTTTCTCAGAGAACATTTTTCCTCATAAGAGAGGGTAGAAGACACAGTTTGGTCTAGTCTGAAGTTTACCACCAAAGATTGTCCACCTCTTTCAACAGCTCTGATGTCATCACGGCACCCAGGACATTTTCACCACACTCCCTTTCACCATTCTACTGGAAGTTTTGGCTGGGAGCAAGACGAAAAGCCAGACCTGTCCTTGTCATCTCTACGCTTTGACTAACAAGGGGCCATAGGCCTTGAACTGAGGAGGAAAGCAAGATAGAGCTGTGCACAACAGTCCAAGCACTGGAAAGATCCAAATTGGGGCCATAGGCCTTGAACTGAAGAGGAAAGCAAGGTAGTGGATAGAGCTGTGTACAACAGTCCAAGCACTGGAAAGATCCAAGTTCCAGCCAGGCACAGCACTGTGTGACTGTAGTCCCAGTACTTGGAAAGCTGAACCAGGAAGGCTGTGAGTTTGAGGTCAGCCTGGAGTATGCAAGGAGACCCTGTATCTAAAAGATGACAGGGAGGGAGGGTTTGAGGCACAGCTCAGGTTGTAGTTATCTGAATGAGGAGTCTCTGGTAAGCAGTGGGCCTGGGTTTGACCTCCAGTAGGGGTTGGGGGCGAGGCAGGGGAGCAGATCCTAAATTCTACTAAATCCTTGGTTGAGTCTAGGTTGCCCTACACAGGACAAGGAGCTTAGCCCAGGCACCTGAGCCTAGTGTTCCAATCTTTCTCAGCTCAGATAGGCTGGGTCTGGGGAGGAAGGGCAGGCTGATAGGGCACCACAGGGAGAAGTGGAAGGAAGAGCACTTGGGCAGCTCGAGGGGAGAAAGCAATGCGGACAGCCACAGGAAGGTGCAGGGCCCAGAGTCGGGCCTGGAGCCAGGTGTGTGCTGATGGAGAGGCAGGAACTTCCGGCCTTCCAGGAAGGGCAGTGAGGTGGCTGTGGGAGAAAGGGAGAGTCTTCTCCTTTTCACAACCCACAATCTACATTGTAAAGGCGGATGGACAAGAACAGAGAGAGGTCTCATGGGAGGAATGGAGAGCAAAGATGCTGTAGGAAATGTTGGTGCTGCAGCAATACTGATGGTGGAGAAATCTTCATTCCTCAGACATGTGGAATCACACAGCATTTGTCCTTTGGTGTCTGGCTTATTTCACTCAGTGTAACATCTTCAAGATTCCTCCATATTGTAGCATAGGCCAGAATTCCATTCATCTTTATGACTGAATAGCATTCCACGGTGTCCATCTTCTGGCAGATACTCAGGTTATCTCCATGTTTTGGTTATAAAACAGGATTGTTTGACTCATACTATAATGGATACTGGCATGGGCACATTTCAGTTCCAACATTGTTTCTTACGGCATTTTTACCTCCAGTGCATGTTCTAGTTTCTTGACATCCTCAACGACAAGTGTTAGGTTCTGCCACTGCTGTTCTTCATGGTCACAATGGGTGTGAAGTCTGTCAACGATGGTTCTGACTCGTGTTTCTGACAAGACTCATGGTGTTTAGCAAGTTTTCGTACATATTGCCCTCTGCATGTTTTCTTTGCAGGAATATCTGTTGAAGTCTTCACTTATTTTGTTTGGGAAGATTTCTTTCGGCCTGGACCTGCTCACGGGTCATAATTTAGGTACTGACAGTGCTGACTCGAGATGTGGGACTTGAGCTCGCTTTCATTGTCTGCGAGGAGCCCATGTGAGCTGGAACTGACAGGAGTGGACTCCTCCATGACAGCAAGCTACTAGGAGAGACTGGTCCCTGCTCCCTCGTGGGTCTCGTGCTTCTTCCCTGGCTGTGGGCCCGCCCCAAAACTTACTAGATGCTTGCTTCTCTTGGGCACACTTTGGCTATGTGATACCATCGGTCATGTTGTGGTGCTAGCACCAGGCTGTTTTCTGTCCAAGAAAACCTTTTTTTTTTTTAAATAAAGCACCTACCTTTTGATATTTTGTTGTAGTAATATAAAATGGACTAAGGCAATTTTCCATGCTTGTGTGTGTGTGTGTGTGTGTGTGTGTATAAAACAAATACACATGAAATAGAATTTATCATTGCAATCACTTTGCAAAATATTTTTGGAGTAGATATACTTAAAAAAATACCTATTTAGGGCAAGATTGATTCAAGGAAAACAAACTTCTAAACACTGAGTTAACAATGTCCTATTTGAAGTTGTACCATATTCTCCATGTCGATTTAGCAAACATTAAACAATTGGCTTTAGATACTGCCTTCAAAGTTGCTGTTTATTGAGCCCATCAGCATTTTCCCCCTAACCAATTCCACATATGTCCTTTATAGAAAGAGAGTGCAGCCATCCCTCAGACAGCAGCTTACCAAAGGCCTATTGATCTTTGCCCAATTTTGCAACTCTCCCCTGTTCCACAATGCACTTATTACCTCTGCTCCTTGAAAAGAAAACACAACAGCCCAGAGAAGAAGATGAGATGACTTTGTATTTCAAAACTTTGTCTCAAAGAGAAAAAGGATGAAAAAAAAGTGGGCAGCTGTGAGCTACTGGAAAAGAAAAGGTGCCAGGGCATGCTGTTTGCTAAGCACGGTGACTGGGAAGGCCTTGGCTGGCCCGGCCCCAGCCAGCGTGCCTTCCTTCTCCCAGTGCCAGCCAGCCTTCTTATTTCTAGCCATTCTTGGATTTATTTTCTTTAATTGCTCATTCATTTGACATGAGAATTGCTTTCTCTTCTTTTCTGTGGTATACATCAGTATCTTCCATGCTTGGCTTCCAAGAGCTTCTCAGTTACCTGGAGGGCAAGTGCCCTTCCAGACTCTTCCCCCCCCCCATTCAGAGGATGCACCAAGTTGCTATGGTCATAAAGTGAATCCCCCAAAGTGGCCAAAGAAGGAACTGTCCCCACTCCTCTACCTCCCCTCATGGAGCTTTGCTGACATGAAGTTCTATAGGTCTGGGGGCCTAAGACTGTAATAACTACACACACACACACACACACACACACACACAGCCAGCACTAGGGCTTGAACTCAACGCCTGGGTG